GCTAACACCTGGAAGAAATTGGCTTCAGATAAATCTGGAGAGCTCTCCATCTATGTTCACACTGAAGGTAACTATCCAGAATGTAGCATGTCTCAGTTCATTGAGCTCTTTCTTAATGAGCTGATGATCTGAATCAGGTGTGTTCAATAAGAGGGACAACGCAAAATGTGCAGTGCTGTGGGTCACCAGGACTAGGATGGAAAACCACTTGTGAAGTACAACATCAGCTTATGTTTCCCTCTGATTTTAGTAGTAGGTTATGTTTAGGGTTTGGGTTCAGGGTTAGACTTTGTTTCTATCAGGAAGTTGATCTAGGTCCAACAGAGATGTTGATCCTGGAACACATCTTTCTTGGCGACCTCATGGTGACCTCAACAACACAGCCACTAACCCAACCTTCAGGTGCAAAGTTAGTAAACTTGAACGAGGTCTTATATAGCTATCCGTTAGCATTCCCATTCATCACAATGGCAGTTTCTTGGCTAACAAGATCCCTGGAACAACACACATATTCTGGTCACACATATTTTGAGGCATGCACTTTAATTGTCAATGACTAATCACTCTGGAGCTGCAGGAAATGACATGAAGACAACACTAAAAGTGGTCTGTGACATACACAGAACATTGCTACTGACTGAAGGACATCTATTTGAATAAAGTTAATTTACTAATTTGTATTGCTATAAATAAATTCATTATTAGAGGCAAGATAAATCAGTGGTTCTCAACTGGTTTTGTTTCAGGGCCTTGATTTTACATCATACATCAATTGGTGTCCAAACACAGAATAATACTAAAGTAACAAGAATGTCCTTAAACTACACTACACATTGAAATGCATTCTTTTTAATGCTAATTTATTGATGGTAATATGTTTATATGATCATGACAGATGTAACAGGCTTGTCTTTATACAGTTTTATTGTTTCTTCTATTGTTCGTTTAGATTTATAGTCTTAGCTATGAATTCACTGCAAATATGATACTGTGGCCATGTATAATCTCTTTTAAAAACATCAACAACTATTTAATTTATCCTAGGTTGTATATTTGCTTAGTTTTGCTCTTGGTTTTTGAGGATGAAAATGTCATGCAACCTGTCCATGCTGTCCACTTTCTGCTGAGTGAAAGAAAAAAAATGTCCCAGTAGTTTGGTTGTTTGCACAGTCTTTGAAGTCATCATAAAAACATATGAAATGCATTTTCTCCCTTTTAAAAGTTTTGCTACTATGTAACCTTGTTTTTCCCCTGCTGTCCACATTCCTATCAGAACAAAACTACAGCATATGATTCACTTGGTTTTATATTATTATAGAGATCACATTGGAATTGTGTTATATACCGTATGAGCAAATGCTATGATGATGCTATATTTTCAATGATATGAGTTCAATTTATGACATTTACTAATTCTCTCTTTCCAGTTGCTCACAGGCAGTTCAATATCGACAGCAACTGTGGTCACTGAGTCAGATTACCAGACTGTTTAATGTGCTGCTTAGACATTTCCAGGAAGTCATGATGCTCTGAGCAGATCTGTTTAACAATCACAATTCAGTAATTCAGTGGTTGTGTTTTTTTTTGCTTAAGTATGTTGGGCTGATTTCACAATGCAGGCACATAGGAATATGCTTTATTTGCAGAAACACAGTGCATGACTGAAACCACTAAAACGACATTGGGTTTATAATGCTTGTCTACTATCACTTTTTTATCGTTATATATGGTAATTCTGTATAGAAGAAAGCCATGTTATGGTTTATGATAAAAGTGTTTTGTCTTTAAATGTGTTTTGTGATGGATTTGAGAATCAGTGTGACTTTCTTTACCCTCTTCAGTCAATGTTT